CGGGCGGCCCGCTAAGGTGTCGAGCTTAATAGACTTCGGATTCCTAATGTCTTACCTCCGATCATCCGGTGATATTCGTTTTCCGAAAAACTCTATTCCTATTGGTTTCGGGTCAACCAATAGGATTTCGAGGCGAACGGACTCCAGATTCGAACTCACCGCCTCTAAAAACTCCTACCTGACTGTGTTCGTGAAAACGCAATTTTGATTAGCTGGTTTCTTAGCAGCAGAATTCCTATTGGTTTTCGGCCAACCAATCAGATTTCGAGGCAAATGGACCGCAGATTCAAGCTCAGCACCTTCGAAAACCTCTAGGCACATGTCTTGTGCTTGCTTGCAACGTGCTACTTAGTAGTCCTCTGAGAACCTCCTCACTCTCCGGGGGGGGGGGGGGGGGGGCGATGACCTCGTCATGACCTTCTCCTGAACGAAAGGATATACCATGCAAAATTTGGTCGCATTTGCTTCTACGGTGTGGATAAAGAACAGAAAATACTGAGGAGAATCTTCTCACTCCTGGGGGGAGGGGGGGGGGGCTGACCCCGTCATGACCTTCCACTGGACGAAAGAGTATTCCCTGCAAAATTTCGTTGCATTTGGTCGTACCGTGTTCAAATGCATGAAGAACAGACAAACAAACAGACATTCTTCTTTATATATATATATAGATAAAGCCAATAAATCGATTCAATCAGACTTATTATTAAAATTAGTTAAGATTTATTGACTTGAGCAATATTGACATTTTTTAATCATCTAAATATATTTGACAATTAATACATATTGACCTAAAAGAAATTACGTTAGCGCCCTCTTTCCTTTTATTGTATTCGTACTGCAACTATTCGCTGCTATGATTGACCAAATATTTGTATTTGTTGACTATTGGTTCATTTTATTTACTATCCTATATTGGTACGTACCCACACGACGACAAAGTGAATAATCAATATCGAAAAATGCACTAAGAGAGGGCGCCACATATCTTGCCACTTTTTCAAGAACTTTTGATACTACATTTTGAACTCATCAAGTGATTTAATAATTTTGGTAATAATAGTTTTTCGTGCCCTAGTCCTGTTTAAGAGATCATCACTGATCGGTCGCTAACTACGCATGGAACTTACTTACTGTCAGAGTCAAACAATGATGAGAATGAGTAACGTGAAGATGCTTTCAGCCAATCATGTTAAAAAAATTACTAACGACACCTAGCGGAGCTTTTGAATGCCTCGTTTTTATAGAAAACCAAAATTACCATATTATAGAGAAAAATTTTCTCTATCTACTGATACCTAAGTGATATTTGGCCCTTCTCAAAATCAGAAAACACCAATCATGTTGGACTCGCTTTTGTTTCTCTTATTTCACTATGTTCTTTGCCGTGTGGGCCCGTGCTATATCATATTCAATCGTACTTTATATATTAGAATTATTTATTATTATTAATTTTTGTAATACAAAGCATCTTTTTCGTGATAATATTTTCATCGCTATTTCAATCAATTGGTAATAATCGTTGTGGTTATGTATGTTTTTTTTCAATATGATCTAGTTTTAATGTTTTTGTTCTTGACACTCATAGTATTTCCGGTGAGATTAATCATCTCTCTTTGAAGCCAGGTAAAATGAAATCCAACAGAAGTGAATGACACAATCTATTTTACCTTCTTTTTAATTTTCTTTTAATGAGATTCATTAGTTTTTATATCAATATGTTTTTATTGGGTCTAGGAAAATTGGTCGAACGAAAAATAGTCGAACGAAAACTGGCCGCAGAAAATTAGTAACTACAAAAATTGATTGACGAAAAAAGTAGTGGAAAAGTTCTTAATTACAAAGAAGAAAAAAGAATTTTGTCATAAGAGTGACATTAGTGCAAAAAATAAATTAATATTAGTATATAATTTGTCAATGGGACTTTTAATACATTTGTTGTAGTACTTTGTGCAAATAAAGTAGACTTTAACCTCTTTCTAGAACAGTTGGTTTTAAGCATACGAGGACATGAGAATATAAAAAGCTGCGAGTATTGAGATGGATCCTCTTGAACCGCATCGTGCTCTACAATTTTCACCAGTACTAGCACTCACACTACAGGTGCACCAACGCTGACAATTATACTGCACTCTCAAAAAGCTTTTTTCGCAGATCTGCGACTCTATCACAATTAATTTCAATACAGTTTCAAGAAAAACGCGTGAATTTAACATTTTTAATTTAAAAAAATTCTCGATCATATGCCGTATGACCTACACAAAAAAATCGGTTGTAGTGATGGACTTTTTATCAACGGAGTCTTCCATTTTCTTCTCGTAATACTTTCGCTAATTCGTCGTATTTCAAGTTTTCATTTTATTATTTTTTTATTCGGAATTTTTCGACTATTTTTCTCATCAATCAATTTTCGTAGTAGCTAATTTTCGTAGCGACTAATTTTCGTATCAACCAATTTTCTTCCACCAATTTTCGTTCGACTAGTTTTCGTCTTCCCGTTTTTATTTAAGGTTTTGCTATTATAATCATCTACTGATTTATTTCATATTAAGTTCCTCATTTGTTGGTAGTACAATTTGTTATCTTCATCTTTGATTTAGGCGAGATGAGTTTTTGTTCTTTTTTATTCTTATGCTTTCTTTTTTCCATATTTCTTTAACTACAAATACATTTGAAATTTGTACTTAGTTTTTGGTTTTCATTTTGACAAATGGCTAAATTTGATCGGATTGAAATTTTTGATCATGTGACTAGAACATGGCAAAGCACCTTGAAAGTGGAAGACCTCGACACCGTCATGGAGACTATGAAAGCATTGAAACTCAATTCAATTCAACTCGATCCTGATCAAGATCGATTCTTATTCTTTGATCCTGATGCTGAGCGATATGGTGAATTCGATATCCATATTTTATCAAACACAAACAAAGTATATAAGGATGTTCGATTACATAAATTAGAACAAGAGATTATTGATGAAAAAATAGGAATTTTCAATATGAACAACGCTGATTTCGGTATAGAAACATCTGGGAAAGAAAAAAAAGACAAAATAAGAAAAAATCCACGAATATTGGTGGTATGTCAAACAACAACAAAGTTTTTCAAAACATTCATAGTGATATAAGCAAAGTTGATGATTCAAATGTTATTGGTAAGTTCTGTTCCGAACGTTGGACAAACTTTAAAAAAATATTGTATCGAATTCCATTGTATTCTATTGCAAACTATTTTTTCCTTCTAGAAACTATGACAACTATTGATGATATTATACAAGAAAAAGAACATTCAACAGATATTATTGACATCGAATTAGAAATCGATCGATGTACAATTATAAAAGAAGAAGATGATGAAGAAAATAAAGATGATGATGAAGAAAATAAAGATGATGATGATGAAGAAAAAACGATAAAGTATGAAAAACAAGATAATACTGTGAACTCATCGATCATTTCTCTTTGATTTAGTACCACCGAAAAATTTCAAGCAACAACACCTTTCGAAAATTACCTTATTAATGAGCTCGGTTCAATCAAGAACAAATTATATTCAATAGAAAAACGATTCAATCATATAGACAAACGGCTTAGTCGAATAGAAAAACGATCGGCAGTTACATATGAAATAGCATCAGAAACACGTGTTATTCATACGCTTCGATAGCTTGGTATGACTTCGATTTCCGGCTTATCGGGCGAATTTTACCATGTTGATGAATATCGAACTGTTTTAAATGCTCTTGGAAATGATTTGAAGAAAAATTATTATCATCGTTGGATGATGTACAATCGCTATGTTGACATTTCTCTTTGTCCTCAAACAATAGAAATTAATTTAATTGGTAAGTTCAAATATTATAATTCTCTTTAAAGAACATCGAGAGAGAGAAAAAGAGAGAGAGAGAGCAGCAAAACAAAATACAAATTCATATTTTTCAGAACAAACCTTTTCATATGAGAATAATTGAAATAATTTTTTCTTTTTGTTTTCTACTATTAACAATAATTTGACAACGTATTCTTTCTTCATTTAGTTTTTCTTCTATTGTCCTTTATTCAAGTATCGTCATCCAATTATATTGAATCAGAATCTTCATATATTAGGTTTTGGTTGTTTACCAAATGTTTCTGGTAATTGGACATCTCCTCCTCGTTCTACTTCAATATTTTCGCTGCGACCTTCGTCATCGAAGTACAACTCGTCTGCTTGGGAGAAGAAGACCAAAGACAAGTTCACGTCGTTTTCTCATCTAGCTGTTGTAGAAGCAACAATATCTGAAGTTATTTTTAATGTTCAATATTTATCAAATGTTTCAAACATTAATGATAAAGGTTAGTCTTATTTTCAGTTCTAAACAAATATTCATAAGATATTTGCTTGCATTTTTTCTATTTATTTGATTAATTGCTTCTCTAATAATGATATTAACAAGCTTTTTCTCTTAGATATGTCTATTGAATTCATTTTACCATTAGATATATCAATGCGAAAACATGATATTTCATACGTTACTTACATTGAAATACTTTAAAATATTTTAACATATATTAATATAATTCGAATCACTTCGATACATTTTCTTTTACTTTTGTATTTTTTCTGTTAATCTTTCTACTTATATCAAAATGATATTAACCCAATAAAAGCTATATAATCAGTAGGCATAATGCATAATATACTATTCAAGTTTCTAATAAGACACTTGAACAGTAGGAAAATCCTATATACTATGTAGTTAGTTTCCAATGGCATATTTTCTGTTATTGATAATCATCAATTAAAAGACAATATTTATACAATAACTATATATTACTAGTAGAACCAAACTAAAATAGAGCAGTCATCGTTATGATATCAATAACTAAATAATGGGTAGTTTGAAAAATTCGGCACCTCCATATTTTGATTACAATAAAGTATTTCGTAGAATAAGTATTTTTTAGTTTTTTTTTTCGTTAAGTTTAACAAAAGATAATCGAGTAGAAGAAACCATTTTCTCAAAATTTTTTAGCTAAACTTTTCGATGAGAGAAGAGTATTTCGAGGAAATATTGAATTGTTTTTAAAGTTTGACGAAAGATAATCGATGCATGGGCGGGCCGGCCTGAGGGCGAGGGGTGGCAATTGCCCCTCCTGGAAAATTTTTGGGAGGGCAATAAAACCTTATTGCCCTCAGCACTGGTAAAGTTTTCTTCTTAAATGATCGTCAGATTCATGGAGGTGTAAAGCTGTTTTTAATTGCCTATGCTTCTGATCTATTTGAAACACTGAGTTATTCGCTCTTCTGTCACTTATACGTCCGTTAGGGATCACTATATCATTCGATATATTCTCTTTCTCTCCATACGACATCTCTCACTGTATTCGCTTTATTTTCCTCTCCATACGGTAACATTCACTATGTTCTCTTTCGACGAACTATTGATTGCTTCTATATATGTATACCTTTATCTTCTTGTCTAGACAAGAAGATAAAGGTATACATATATAGAAGAAATCAATAGTTCACAGAAAGAGAAAAAAAGATAAAATATGTGGAGGAAATATTGTGTTCATTCATTATCTTCTCTCTCCCCTGTTCCTCTTTCTATCTATATAAGGCATCGTTTCGCGCATTGATTTGGCGTATCACTTAAATTCTTTCAAAGCATGTCTGAAAAAGGCACACTCAACTTTTATTTCAGAAAACAAAAAGCTAATATTGTTCAAGAAGAATGTGCAAGCAGTAGTTCAATTCAATCAACCACTATCGAAGATTCGTGTCATCCAAATTTGGAATTTAACCATTCATCGGTATCTTCCTCCATTTCCTCATCATTAACGAAAGAAACAATAATTCTCGATGTCGAAGACGAACCGATAGCAAAACTGTTAGCGTCAATAGAGGTCATTCTATTATCGCTAACTGTACAGTTGTGATATAGTGACTTTCCTTTTTCCTCTCTATAGTTCATATATGTAGTTCCATTGGATTGTCCACTGTTTATATATATATGTTTTTTCCCTTTCCTCTTCATCTATGAGTCAGTTGTTGTTTTTCTTCTTTCCCGGTGATATACTTATTATTATCATTATTGTTATTATTGTTATTATTGTCATATTTGTTATTATTTCTTCCTTTCGTTACCTTTCTCTTTCTTTTCCATTATATTATCATTCTCATCCCCATTGTTATTAATAAAACATTAACCGGTTAATTAACCTATTCTCTTCATTTATCATTACAAGGTCCGGTAAGAATGTTTATTTACTTTTACGTGAGATCTCTCGTTCCCGTTGTAGACCGGGTATTTAATATTTGATTGTTTTCTGGCCTAACCTTAGAGTGGGGCAAGAGTCTAAGACATTCCCATAAACGAGAACCTCACAAAAACGTTCACGACTTGTTGATAGTACTAATATTGTGGAGCCTTTCAAACGTGATCCGTGCCGTGGACCATCGTTAGCCAAAGAATTCATTTTAATTGGACCGTATCAACCAAAATGTCACTATCCGACTGTTCAAAATCGTCATTTTCGTCATGAATGGTTTCAAACATACCAATGGCTTGAGTATAGTGAAACAAATGACAAGGCGTACTGTTTTGTTTGTCGATTTGCTTATGATTCGCTAAAGTCTGATGGTGCATTCACAAATACCGATTTCAACCACTGGAAAAATGGTGTCGACAAGTTCAACAAACATCAATCGACAATATCATATAAACAAGCATACAAGACCTGGGTGAACGCCAAAAAAAATCGATTGAATAATACAGGTGTATTGAGACAGATTGATCGACAATTCGATAAACAATCCGAAGAAAATCGACTCTATTTGAAAGAAATTATTCGAACAATTGTATTTCTTGCAAAGCAAAGTTTACCTTTTCGTGGTCATCGAGAACACGACGAGTCCGATAATCGCGGTAATTTTCTCGAACTACTCGAACTGCGTAGTCGTGACAATGAAATTATCGGAAAAAATATCCATTCATTAAAATTTACCGATCACAAAATTCAAAATGAACTATTGATTTTTATTCAGGAAAATATTACAAAACAAATTGTGTCGGACATTAAAAAGTACAAATATTTTTCTGTTATGATCGACGAGACGGCAGATATTTCAAGACAAGAGCAAGTTTCATTAGTTATTCCCTATGTCGATGATCTGTTTAATGTATTTGAGAGATTTATTGGTTTCGACCGAACATTTGATACAACAGGTGAAAGCTTGTTTAATTTATTAGTATCATGGATCAAAAAACTTGATTTAAATGTGAAAAATATCGTCGGTCAGTGTTATGACGGGGCGAGTTCGATGCGTGGTGAATACAAGGGCGTTGCAACACGATTAAAACAATTATCACCAAAAGGTACGTGCTAGTTTTAAAACTAAGAGTCTTTGGTTCATAAAAAGCTTCTCTAACGGCAGTATTCTCAACAGCTGAAAAAGAAAACATTCGACTAGATCAGCAAAAATTTCTTTTATGGCTTTGAAACTATAGTCCAAACAATCAAAAGTATGAGTTAGAATTTTACTTTTTTCAATTTCATGATGATGTGTTATTTTTTTTTATATACTATAGACTGATATAGATCGGTCATATATTTACTATTATAATCCTATACTGGTCCTCTACCTATGTTGTATATCTCGGATTTTTATCTTTATGTATATGTGTATATATAATATCAACTGTAATGATT